TTTTTCAGTGGTCGGAATGTTCTGCTCTCTAACATACATTTGTTTCTTGCCAGTCCTTATGTCAAAATAAATGTGCTTAAAGTGGGGAACAAGGTAGTTTTAAAAATGTTCTAGAAATAAGAAAAAAGCTCAAATTCAAATTACTACTACCTAAAGCCCTAAGCATTTTTTCAGTGACAATTTCCACACTCTTTCCAAAAATCCCCACATCATTTATAAATTTGTATTACCTATTTAGACAAGAAATAGAAGTCTTCAAAATTATGAAAGGCTAGATTCATAGTGTAAACATTATTTTGTTTTTTTCTGAACACTTACCTTTGTTCATAACAAAATACTTTGTCTCATAAGAACAATAAACAAGGAGCATGCAAATCTACACTTGGACAAAACAAATGTAGACAGCTTGAAACAGTTTAAGCGGTCATAATTTACCAATATCACAATGTTTGACTATGTACTAATAGAGTTTTAACAACTAATTTCTGGGGCTTTCTTGAGAAAAGGTTTAAAAGCCTGTCATTTGACTGATTTGACTTACTAGTCTTTTTATCTCAGTTGAAATTAACTGAAAACTGTTAAAAACCACCAACAAACCTTGTTACATATGGTTTCATCTATCTTTCTCTTTTTCTTCTCATCAGAAACCTTCTCAAAAAGCCTGTAAGAGTTATTTCAATCAGCTTCTGTTGGTTTGAGTTTTTTTTAATGTCTGACTAGAAATTTTTCCTTTGCTTATCACACAGACTGCCAACACAACACAGTGAGGTGTTGTTTCATAAAGCAGTATTTTTGAAAAAGAAGTTGGTTTTCAGACAGGTGTGAACGGAAAACAAAGACAGTCTTTCACAAGCCTCAGATACAGCAATAGCAGGGTGGCCGGAAATGACTCCATAGGGAGAGGATTAGCGAGGCCTCAATATCTCTAGAGTCCGTCAAAGGCTCAAAGCTCCTCTACCCGATACACACAGAGAACTCAGTCACATCAGCTGGCATCTTACCCTCAGCCGAGCATGAGCTGTTAGAACTGAATTCAGGTATTTCAAACATTCACTGTGCCTCCCTTGGGGGAAAAAGTAACATACCCAAAACAGCACCTCATGTTTTCCATTAAACCACAGCTTTTCATCTTTCCTCACAGCTCTGGAACTTGGAACAGCTCCCTCAGGAGACAGCTGCTCTTTTTCTGCCTCTCACCATTGCTGTCCCAGTAGCTCCTACATACAGCCTTGCAGCTAGGGCAGCCAGTGCCCCAGGAGACCTGACTGTCCTGGAAGACTGCCAATGTTCACCCAGCACTGTCTGCAAAGTCCATTTCAGCTTCTCTTAGACAATCCCATCTCAGAACAGAAATTTCCACTCAGGAGAGGAATAAATTATATGGGATACACCAGTTCTCTCTCCCAAATGAAGTGGTCTTATGGTACCTGTTTGGGCAAGATAAACAAATGCAATTAATTAACTTTGCTTAAACCTAAACAAAACTATTTATCTAAAACACTTGAACACTGCAGGTCAAAGAAAAGGCCATTTTCTTCAGCAAAAACTGCTGTAGCTTTCAGAGCTTCAGAAACCATTAAAAGAAATGTCCATGAGCATTTAAAAACTGTCAGACTTCCTGAATTTATCACTTGCTACCAAGTTCCTCTTACAGTAAACAAATCTTTGAATCTTGAAGATAATTATCAACCCTGCATCCTGAGCCAATCCTGCAGCTACCAAAGCAACTACAAGCTGAGGGTCAGGTTAGCTTTTTCTTTTATTAAACATACACACACATCTTCACATACAAATCCGTTCAGCAAAATGTTTGCCAAAAGCATTTGTTCTAATCAAACAAAAAGTACTGCATGAGAAAGAATTTGAACATCTCCAAAAGTAGACTTCCTGGTAGATGTCAGGTCCAAAATCTTTTTGAAACATGGACCACTATTCAGGGTTTTTTTTCTGAAAAGACTACTGATAGAAATGTGTTTGGTAGGAACAGTCCTAGTTTTCAATTATTTTCCTTTCACTTTCAGACCAGAAATCTGAAAATTGCTGCCCTCATCCCTTCAGAAATCATGCCTGAGCCAGTTGTAGATATCTCAGACAAGATAAAGAATATCTATTTGCTCACTGTGGAAGTTGCACTTACAACGACACTGACACAAAAGGGAGCACCTTTAGTCTAGTGTTTATTATGAAAGAGAAAATGACCTTAAGCTTTCTATCTTCTGTTCTATTTGACTTCTTAAACCCCTACACTCTTTCTTTGCTATTCCAGGCTCGGCTTTGACTAGAAATTCCATTTTGGACCAGAGAAAACACTTCCCATCATGTCTGGTATGTACATGCCTAAAAAGGAATGTTTCAAAAAAGATTTCAACTAATTAACATTCTCTAATGTAATAGCTGCTTTGACAGGAGATTCATGATCAGCTCTAATTTGACTTCTAAGTAATTATTAGAGCAGCATGACAGCAATTACATTAGCTGTGAATGTAGCATTTCCCAAAAAGAGGGCAATAAATTAAAGACTGATATAGCAAAAACCTGTCAAGACCTGGCAGGGCTTGAAAGTTGCTGCTTCATGTTGCATTTCCCAGAAGACACTGACTTGGAAGGAAGGGCTGCTCTAATACCACTCCCCTCTCTTTCTTATGCAGCTCTCAAGTGGGACAAAAGGAATAATTATTTTCAGACAACAGAAAAAACAACTATGATTTCAGAAGCCTTTTCCTCACACCTTATTTTAGGCTAAGACACCTTAGGAGCCAATTTTTTTTTCACAGGAAAGCTACAGACCATCTTTAAAACAGTAAAGTTCACAAGTTGGCAGGGGATATGCAGTTTGGTTGTTAGACTGATGACATGTCTTTCCTTTAGATTCTGTACCATGCAAGCAGTTACCCTCAAATCCAAGTCAATGCCCTGTTTGAGTCAAGCATAAAATATGTGGCAGGACTAAACACTACAGTTACTCAGCAAGCTTTTGGGCAACTGTCACACAAGAGGCTTCATAGCCTATCTTTACTTTTTCCACTGCTGAAAAAGCCCAGGCTCAGCTCCTGTTGGAGCCTGAATTAAGAATCATAATTATCACAAAAACAAATGGTTAGGCATTTTCTTAACCCTAAATTTGCAGAATAATGAAACATCAAAATACTTTTTTCCCCCACACAAAATCTAAATTAAACAGTCCCTAAAAGCAATTTGTAGGCATTACAGGAGAAAGACAGATACTGGAAAATTATCTACTGCAACGCCCTGTCACCACTCTCTCCCCACTATCTGCTAAATCAAATGAGAATGGAGAAATCTCCAGATTAAAGCAACCAATGCAAGAAAACACATCAAGTTTTAAGTTCTGCCTATTGAAAAAGTAGATCAAATACTTTTCTGAAGTAATTCCTTCATTTTTTCTGTTATTATGTCTGCGGTAGGGATTCTGATTTTAGGTTGTAAACAAGGATTCCTAGTGGCAGACCTTCCAGTTGCTGCTTCACATTTTAAAAATTGTTTTCTTAGGTCTTTCGTAGAATCTGTACTACACACTGTAGAAATATGGTTTCAAGTAATTCTGACAATATGGGGGGGGTTTCCCCCAAAACTATGTCTATTCCTTCATGAAACAGACTTCTTTTCTTTGAAAAGAGGGCTATGAAAGTCTCAAGAGAAAAGTGAGTGGACTAGGTGATCTAAAACACATATGCATATGTGTACATTTTTCTAGACTTAGAATCCTGCTTCTCTAAAGAAATTTGAGAGGCTCAAGTGATATATCAGTCTCTAATGAAAACTGAGCTATAATACACCTTCACTGAACAGGGTAAACCAAGGTCAGCAGCTCAGAAGTTGTAAGAAATTTTCAGAGGGTAAGTTAGTTTTAAAATTCAGGGCTACTTAACCTGCAAGAGAACAGTAGCAAATGAAAATTTAGACGTTTACACAGCTTTAAAAACATCATGTCTAGTCCCAACACAAATCAAACTGAAGAGCTATGGGCTCTTATCACAATGGTGGTCAAAAGATCATTTATTACTAGCATTTTACTTATACAAGTGGGGAGACAGGAGGAGGGAGACGAAGAATTCCCTGGTCAAATGCTTTACAATTTTACTGAAGGATTTATCTTTTATTTTGCCTTGTAATTAGTAGGATTAGTTTGGTCTCCAGCTGGTGGTGACCTTGCATTTTGCACTAAGCTTTAGCTGATTAACAACCACAAAAAACATATATGATAAGTGGATTTAAATGCCAAAGGTGACAAAAAGAATAGACTGGGGCCTGTTCCAAAATACAAATTTGCAAGAGAGGCAAATGAGGAAATAAATTTATTTGAATCACTGTCTAGCACAGCAGGGTTCACGATCAATCTAATTTCATACTTTTTAAAGCTTTCTTCCTACCAAATGTAACAAGATTTAGGAAGTCCTGCAATATGTCTTCATTCACTCTGAACACAGAAAAACTGAAAGCTAAACCATGCTATTAATTCACAGAATTATGCCAGAATATAATCCTAAACTAAATGGAGACACTTCAAAATACATTTTTTTAGTTTAGTTCCAAACAATAAGCACAAAAAATATTTTCCCATGGCTCTAGCACTCACTCCTTTGATATGCTGAGAGCATGCCTCTTCTGTGCAAGTGTTATCTATACACACAAACTAAGGTCTGCATTGAGCAAGCAACTTCGTCAGTATGGACTTTTCAACTGTTCAAAATTCCTTGAAATGTAGAAGACACTAGCAACCCTGGAACTTGGCCAGGTCAAGCACTGAACACAGCCAATTTTCAATACCAAGCCCTTAAGCTGTTTCCTGAAACAGGATGCATTTGTATACATAGAGATTGTATATTTATTTTACAACAAAAATGCTTACCAAAAAAAAAAAAGAAAAAAAAATCCCACCCTTCCACACTTCTTTTCTTTGGGCAATTCCATGTGTATTTCTTTTAGAGATGTAACTACATGATAGCAATAGCTAAAAATAAAGAAAATTACACAAAATATAAAGTCAAGGCAGAATTTTAATTCTAAGTATAAATAATTAAAAGAATTACTATCATCACATTTTCTTAGCAGATGAAACAAAAAAAAACCAAAATTGCAACAAAATGGCTACTTCTTTTCCTTGATGGTAACTACAGGCACAAAACACAAACCCATCATTTTAATCATGTAATACTCAGCAAAACTCTTAATAATTTCTGGTTTGCAATGGAATAATTGGATCCAATCTGGTTTGATAAAACAGCAATCCATCCCACAAACAAAGAACAGTTTGATTTGTCTCTTGGAGAGTTTTCTGAGAAAAACTAAGAATTTGTGGTACACTACAAATTAAAATATGTCATTTGTGTACAGTTGCAACAAATTTGCACTACTTAGAAAATGGGAATATGCTGCTATATCATCCTATATTATAAAAGCTTGGAGAAATTAATGACTTGTTTAGATATGAGTTTATTTAAGGCCCTAATTTGCTGCCTATAGTTAGTATTTCCAGGTCAATTTCTTCTGCTTCCTGTTTTTAACATTAAACTAGACATAACAGGAATCAAGGTGCTTTCTAGCTAAAAAGTGTATGATAAACTTAGGCAAATTAGAAAAAAATTAATTATTTTAAGCAGTCTTAACTACTAAATAAAGCCTACCTGAGCATTCTGTGACTTGTGGCACCCAACACCATTCAAGAAAAAATGTAAAGCTCAAATAACATAATTTATGTGTGCAAGCTGACTGTAAACAAGTATCTCAATGGGCTTTGCTTGTCTTCAACAAAAGTAGAATCAAATTGTTACAGGTCTACTTTAAGTTCTTTTCAAGAATTTCTTAGACTGTGTGGATGATGTGGAAGAGGGGAGATGGCTTTAATTCAAAAGTACTTCTCTATCAAGAAGTTTGTTTCCAATAGACAGTATTAAATTCAGAGGATTGGCACTCATGAACATAGGGGACTAGCCTTAGTTTTAGAAAAATAGTTTTTATTCTCCCCAGACTAGGAGCTTTGGTGGTTTTATTTTTTAATGTTCCACTCTTACAATAGTTTCCATGTCACAGAATTCTTCTATGGTTCCTGTTCTCACCTTCCATCACATTTATAAGAGTAAAAAGTCTATTTACACACAAAAGCCACATCACCAAACCTTGGTTTGAAACAATACAACCACAGGTTATGTCTGAATCTGAAAGCAGTTTTTGCTTCCTCAGTGTAAGATGTATGGCCCACTGAAGAAATAAAACTCCTTCTGGCTCTCAGTACTTTGAGCTGATCAAATAATTGAAAAGGTAATTTTCACTTTTGCAGTTGCCACTATCTTAAGCTCAAGTTTGATTCATAATTTTGTCATTTTTATTTCTGTATCACCATTTATGTATGTTTTTACAGAGTTATGCAAACAGAATACCAGCTTATGAAGTTACCTAAACTATTTGCTACCAAAAGATTCTTTGTGTAAACTAAAGTCCCGATTTTCTAAGTTTTTTCCTATACTTTCTCTGAACTGGATACTAAATGCCAATTTAGCAGAATATAGTCAATGACTCCTTGTTAGTCTTCAGTACAATCTCCCAAGGTACAGTATTCAAAAAGATAACTAAATGGGTGCACTGTGAGTCACCATTTGTCCTGCATCTACTACTGTGTTAGCAAAGAAATGTAAAGTAATGGTTAAGATAAAGGGTCTCATTGCTGAAAGACTGCTTCAAGTGTTTCACAGAAATATTTAAGTGGTTAGACTTACACCACCACACAAAGCCCTAAAAATTGATATTGATCCTATTCCTTTGACACACCTTACAGAGAACAGGGAGCACCTATGAAGATCGAGCACAATTTTGACAAGTCTCCCAAGAAGTTTGCATTTGTTTTGCAATACTCTTTTCAAGCATTTGAACAGAAATAGTCTAACATGAATTTCTCCCTGTTAGCTTACTATTTTTTCCTACACATTTCACATAAGTTGGCAGTCTGCCTTAACATGCAGACCAACCAGCACTGGGGAGCCAAATTAGTTTCTTGTACTGCTGGTGGTCCGGAACTGCAAAAACAGTCAGCTCAGCACAGCATACCAATAATTATTACCATACATCAGATATCAAGTAGTGTGCTACGTAAAGCTATATATATGCATGTATATGTTTACTATTAAACCTTTTTAATTACATGTCATGGTACATGTGCACACAGTATTCAGGTCAGGAGGACCTTTAATGTCACTTCAACATGACAGTGAAAAGAAACTGTGGAATGAAGTCACTGTTATCAATCCTCTTCAGAGCTAGATTCATCTTCCTGGTCAGAGAGCTCAGCAACTGGAAAGCGCAGGATAGCTGCCACCCCTGTCAGCTGGCCCAGCTGCTCTCCAGACACATGGAGGCTGGAGAAAATGCGCACTGTGCCCATGTTCTCCCGTACGCTATCTACCAGTTTAACATATCGGGAACGTGTAGCCACATCCTGGTGCCGAAAAAGCTCATCACTGATCAGCAGGGTATCAATGGCCATGGCTTCATTGGCCTTTTCCACATGTTTCAGGCCATAAAAAGCCCGGTCAGGCTCATGCTGCAGCATTTTATAGAAGTCATCTAAGGCTTTGACCTCACCAGCCGCCTTAGTGTCAGAAAGACGGCTAGTTACAGCTGGGTCGCAGAGTGCCTCCTTCAGTGCATATTTATGTCCTGAGGAAGAGTGGACCTAGAGTGAAAACAAAGTCAAAAGTTTGGTGTTTTTGTAAAAAAATGACCATTTCCTTTATTAACCGATCACAAACACCCTCCATGATATGTAATATTAATCTCAATAATTATTTGGGGAACTTATGTCCTCCTTGACACACACATGATTCTTTTCTTAATCTCTCCTGCAACACAGAGCCTATACCAAATCCCTTAAACTGCCTTTCAAGCAGAGCAAGACAACTGCCTCTCTTATTCAAAGCCTGGATTAAATATGCAAGCTCAACAGCTCCCAGGATAAATCTACTTGAAACTACCAAGAAACTAAAATCTAAGCCTAATTCTCTTTTTTAAAGCATTCAAGAAAAGGAAGGACCCTCAACACTGCAGGCATATAGTGTAAAAGCATCAACTCCGTGCAATTATTATGGTTACAAAGCTACTTCTGTCTATTATCACTTTGTTACACATGGAACAGGAGGGTTCTTGGTGCACTGAGTCTCCTAAGTACTGGGACTCACTTCACTATCCCTGCCCCCAGATCACCCCGGGCCTACTCCAACCTAAAAATAATACAAGTATCCTTATGAAAACTTATTTTAGGCCCTGAATATGACTATTTTAGTATAAAGCTAAACCCCCATGCACTCAATCAATGAGATCACTAAGAAACAAGGAAAAAAACAGAGCCTTTAAATACGTGGTACAAAACTAACAATGAAATTCTAGTTAAATTTGTTAATACAAAATTAATTAACCTATACCACATTCAGGTACTTTTAAAAAAACATCTTTAGAAAGTTGTTATTAAACATGGATGCTGTAGAGTGTGACAACGTAACAGTGCAAAGTACTTTCCAACTTACACTTCACACTTAATTGAAGAGCAAATATGCCTTTACAGGGAGTTTGAAATATCTAACACCTTCTCTATTCCACATGAAGGTATCCTAGGTGGGAATCATCCTTATACTACGCACAACTCATTTATAGCTTGGGAGACATAAGAATAATTTCCTCATGATGCTCAGTCAGAAATTTATTTTCTTTAATGACTTACTTCCCATGTAACTACCTGTTACTATCATACACAACTCTCAGGCCTCTTTTTACCTACTCTAGAAACTGCTTAGATCCTTACCTGTAAGAACTTGGACCTGTTCTCCAGCAGAAGTTTGTTATCAGTCTTCACTGCCTGCTGGAACATGTAGTCACAAAACTGCTCCCGCACGAAGCCTGGGCTAGCCACCAGTACACACTTCACCACCTCAAAGTTGATATGCCTCTGGATGGCTTGCACCACCTGCTCGTAAAACCTCTCCAAAGCCCGGTCGTGCTGACTGCAGTTCCCTTTCCGCTTGCGGGGGATGTTCACCTCCACCTTGGCTCGAGTCAGCGTCATGCTCGGGGTGACCAGGCAGACATGAGCCAGCCCCTCCTGCATGACCACGGCCGCCACATCGGCGCTCCAGGCCGGGTCGCAGGCCTGCTCGATGCGCTCCAGCACCACGCTGTCCCACTGCTTCTTGGCCAGGGTGAACTGACGGTTGGGCTCCAGCTCGATGGTGTGGTAGGCGCCCATCTTCACGTACTCGTTCTCCTGGATGTTCGTGCCCTTAACCCGCAGCTGGCAGGCCTGAGAGTCGAAGTCGATGGTCTCCACGCAGAGGGTGAGGGTGGTGCGGACGCGGTTGCTGCCCACGCTGCCCGTGGACGACTCGGTCTGAACCTTGCGGATGGTGGAGGCGCGCAGGCTGTCACCCACCTGTAGCAGGTTGTAGGTGTGCCACATGTCCTCAGGCTCCTCAGGGATCAGCGTCACCTGCCCCGCATTATCCTTCTCCAGGTCCTTCCTCACCAGCTTCATCCTGGCGGCTCCTCGCGTCGCTGCCCGTGTCGCGGCGGCAGCGGGCGGCAGGCGTGCCCCCGGCGGGCAGGCTGAGGGCCGGACCCGGCGGGGCGCACACTCCCGGACGGACCGACGGACACACGCACCGCCTTCCCGGTGCTCCCGAGCGCGCTCGCCGCCGGCCCAAACGCGCACGCGCGGCGTCCCCGGCCGCCCCACGGCGCACGCGCACAGACCCCTCGCCCTCCTGAGGCGCCGCCGGGGCTCGCCCCGCCCCGCCGCGCTCGGTCACCGCAGGCACGGCGCATGCGCGAGGCGCCGCGCGCGGTAGCCGGGCAGCGCGTCCCGAGGTGCGTCCTGCGGCAGGAAAAGTGCGGGCGGTGTGAGGGCGGGGCGCGGGAGGCGGCGGCGCTGCGGCCGGGCGCTGCCAGCGCTGCACGGCGGCTGCTGCCTCGCCGGGAAGGGGTCGCCCCGCGTTCGTCATTCCCCTCCGGCGCTGCACTGCGGCGCTCCAAACCCCTGAAGTCTCCTAACGCCGTGCCACACGTTTCAAAACACGAGAGGCGAAAACCAAACCAAAACTACACGGCCAAAGCCGAGCAGTTGCTGGAAACTTAGAGGCACAGCTGGCAAAAGAGGCAAGAGGTGCCGTGGTTCAACGAGGCCAAGGAGCCAGGGGACGGCACTGCCACCCCCGGCGTCACCCATGGAAATGAAAACCAGGCAACACCAGAACATGACCTGTTACTTGGCTGCTGCTCTTAAACTGAATTCCGGTTTAAAAGATTTTGGTTAAATTTGCAAGTTACACTTCAGCCAGTACTGAACCTTGACCAGCTTCCTTCCAGTTCTGACATGCTAGGGAGGCAGATGAGCACGTTTCAAACGAAGCTGGATGTTCACATAGAGAAATAAGATGCCTTGATAAAAGACATACAAAGAAAATGGACCTGAACCATCACTGCACAGCTGAATTTGCAATCTAAATGAATTTAGCAATCCAGAAATAATGAAAAGTTCTATCACTATACAAGAAGGGAGGAATATTGAAGAAGAGAAGGTTGAGATGTCATAGCAGCCTTCCAGTATCTGACAGGGAAGAGGGAAGCTGGAGAGGGATTCTTCATCAGGAACTGCAGTGACAGGACAATAAGTAATGGGTACAAACTGAAAGGGGAAATTTAAGTTACATAACAGGAAGAAATGTTTCTTTGAGGGTGGTTACACACTGGAATAGTGCCTAACCCCTGGTTGCCCAGGGAGGCTGTGGTTTCCCCAACCCTGGTACTCATTGGACAAGGACTTGAGAAGGCTGGGAATTGTCAAGTGGGAATTGTCCCTGCCCATGGTAGGGTGGGTTGGGACTAGATTATCATTAATGTTCTTCCAACCCCTTAAAATATATCATTCTGTAATTCTGATTTCTGTAGCTAATTTTTGAAACAGTGTACAACACTAAAAACTCCATTTAAGAATGAATGTTGCAAATTTAGATCCTGGGAAAGAATGAAGAATAGAAAAAAAATGCTTGCATGATAAATGATTAAATAAAAATAGGTTGAAAAGGTCGGCACACTAATGTGCCATGCTAAGTGTGTCAGGGCAGTTGCAGCAGATAAGTCTGGAATGATTACACACTCGAGTCTAGTTATAGAAAAGCATCTTCTGATGGCATCTTCTTACAGATGAGAAGGTGGTCACAAGGAAGTTTCTGGTTTCTATTAGCTATTTTTTTTTTTTTAAGAAAAAACAACCTACTATGATTATGGAATTTTCTGACTTGAAAAGGCTTTGGAGTCAAGAATTTGATGAGATACAAGGCTACATAATATATATATAATATAAATAATCCCATATCTTCCATTATGGTGTACCTATAAATTTCTCAGAAGTATCTAGCTCTAGTCAGTTGTGACAGGACAGTGAACTCAGATTTGGCTCAGAAATGTGCGTTCCTTTTCCCTAAGCTTGATACTGGTGTAAAAACAACTTTATCAGATATTACATAATAGTATTTATTTATCAGACCTCAGACTCTCTTCCTGTGAGTACACATGCTTAACTCTGTTAGCATGAATTGTTTCACAGAATCAAGCAGGACCACCCAAGGGAATATAACATAAGCACATGTGTAAGTAACTTTAACTTGTTCATATTAATAATTTTGCACTACTGTGCATTCAACTTTACTTTCAGAGTTCCTTTCACTTATCTATATAAATGCTGAATGTAATTTTATGGCAGATTTTCTTCTTTACATTCTTTGCAACTATAAAATTCCAAAGGTTGACCTCATGCTATTCTTTCAAGAAAAAGTAGTTGTGGTGCATATTTAACTTCCACATTAAAATGTATTTTACTTTTTATTATTTTACAGCTCTGTATTTACAAACTTTTCTGTGCTTACTCATTCCAGTCAAATTTTTACAACCAGCTTCACATCCCTGGAGATGCAATATATTCTAGATAAATGTTGCAAGTTGACATCCAGTATTATCCAGTAAAAAATAAACATTCCATTCAGGAAAATAAGTGACTTGCATTAAAAAACCCCACAGTAACACACATGTGTGCATACGCACACCCTGCCTCACACACCCCAAACGCAAGAACTCAGAAAGAACAAAACCACAACCAAAGAAGAAAGGCCAACTTTGAAACAAAGTTGCCACTCAAAATTTTCAATTACCTGTTGTAGAAAGAGACATTTTGATATGGGCCTTTTCTCAAACAGCAAGTTGTAAGATTTATAGAGTTGTGAACAGTGATCCACAAATATTTAGTGGCAAATGTAAACTTCAATGGATTTACCCACTATCAGCAGGACTATTGTCAACTTAGAAAGGAAAATATTTACTAGAGATGATGCTTTGCCTACTCTGGTAAAAAAGTAAATATAGGATATTATTATTTATTTGAGTATGTCAAAGTATGAGCAGTAGAAGAAAAATATCTCAAAAAATTAAGAATCACAGAAGTTTCTAAGTTTATTCTAATTGTGCTAATGACAGGAAGAGAGATGAATTTGACCGTGGTAGAGCCAAAACAAGTGGGTAACTTTATATCCTCATAGTTTTAACATGAAAGTTCAAAATGGCATAGGTTGTTTCTGTCTTGGTATAACATTGAGACTATGTATAGGACCTAAGAGTTCTTGCAATAAATCACTTTGTAAATACACTTTTATAGGTATTAATAATTGCAGCAATTTGACATCCATTTTTGGACCTTCTTAAGTACAATGCAAGACAAAATGAAAATGGTGGTATCATATATTCTTAGGGATTTTAGAGCCATGCTGGTTATCTAAAGCTATTATTCTGACAATGTTTGAGACACGCTTCCCTATATCTTCAATTCTTGGTCAACTACTTTATGAAGATGGGTTACATACAGATTTTAGACAAGGAGGGGTCATCTTCCTAGGAAATCTCATCTTCTCCATATTATAGACACTTTAGCTAGAATTCATGCAAAGATGCTTACATTCTGGATAAGAAAAACTAATGGGGAAGAATCTCTGATGTAGAGGGAAGTCTGCTAAGAAATGTTGGGCATTATTATTGCAAGAGCAGAGGAAGATAAAAGAGACAGATGGAGAGGGGAAACTTGGGAAAACATCTGTTTTCGTGCTTTTCATGCTTTGCCTTTGTCCTATGGCTGTCCTGCCTGTACAGACTCTGAACAAAGATCACTTTATTATCTGCATACAGTTCTGTCTTTTTCTATTTATCTTTATCTTTTCTATTATAAAGATGAGTACAGCAAGACCATCATCAATAAAGAAGTCCAGGAGGGAACAGGCTTTGCATAACATTGTTAAGTGAAGGAGCCTTTAAAGGTAATGAAACCCTTTAAACTGACTTCTTCATTCTTTAGCTGTTGAAACGTAGGGCTGGAGAAAACTTCAGCAGATCCCTAGTCAAACCACTTCCATAGAGGCCAGCTGAAGTAAACCCAGCCATCCCTTATGCTGTTCATCTAACTTCATCAAAAGTCCTGGTGAAAGAGATTATACAGGGATAGGCTTTTTTTGGTAGCCTAGCAATTCTTTACCTTAAGAGTAAGAAAATTCTTCTGAATATTCCCTAAGATTTATGTATAGTCAGTTACATTGATTTTCTTTTGGCCTTTGCTGGATTTGGAGAACCAAGTATTTATTAATATCTTTGGAAACCAACATATGCGATGTGGAAAGTCATGACTGAGTGCTCTCACTAAACAAAGAAATATTTACATCTGGAATAATATTCTCAGCAATAATATTTGAATCTAAAGATGTATCTAAAATGTTCAATATTTTGCCCTTAGTTTTCTTCTACTAGATAGATACAAACCTAACTAATTCAGTCTTTTGTCACAGATCATTTTACTCAGCCCTTATCAGGCTTCTCAATTCTCTGTGCACTTCAGTCTGTTTACATGTCAGACTTTCTGTGGTCAAGATTCTCAGAGGTCTCATCAAAAAAAGTCGAATTAAAAAAGAACAAAAATCTATATAAATACACAGATATACATAACATCTCTATGTGTCTCCTTTACTCTAGATTCTTTTTGTCTGCTAGGACATGCCAAATTATTTGCTGCTTTTTTCTTTAAAGGAAGAACATAGTGTAATTTATTTTTAAATTATTTTTTAATGTCACTATATTTCTCTTTGTGAAGAAAACCCCTTTTCCATATTCTTATGATATTTTGACTTGTTTATGTAGGACTACTTCCCTTATTTATAAGAGACAATTTGAATCTTTTACCTGGTATCTGTAATGCCTCCTCTTATTTCTAAATCTATCCTCTTTCCCACCAATCTTTTAAAAAAAAACCCCATGACACCACCACCAAAAAATTAATTACCTAGTAAAACCAGATGAGACTTGAAATTTTTCCTAACTGACAGTAAACATTTTTTTCCATTACTGATGAATTAAATATCTGTCAGAATTACTAGTGGTAACTCTGCAACTCTGAAGGGAAATTGTGGCACACTAAATTGTTGGTATTTTACAAAGTGTCCTTTTTTGAAGGAACACAAACACAAACATGTTTTGGAGTATGTCACTGTAATAATAATGAAGACTGTTAAGGACAGCAACTAAATATGGCATGCCAAAATACTGTATTCAGATTTTTACATTTTCCAGTATCTGTTCTGTCTTGCACAATAAGTACAGAGGGAAGAGAGGAAAACTCTAGTTTTGCCTTTTCCCCACTTGCTGCTGCCTGCATTTGGACAATTCTTAT